GTTTAATTACCAACTTGTTTAAAGCCAAAATAAAACAAATAACACTTATTATATACTGAGAAATTAGAACCATTTGCTAAGGCAAGCATATCTTAGTGGGAAAAAAGAGCAGATTTGCAGTTGGGGATGGGGTAAAGATTCAAGGTGAAGTGTATGTGTTTTGCACTTGACTGTACTTCTGTTTAGAAAATATTTTGTAATACAGTTTTAGACATTTACATCATATGAGGAAGAGAATGAACAGCCAGTAAAAGAAATATTACGGTAACGTGTGCAGCGGATAAAATGGCTTAGTCAATATGAACACATACACTCCAGCAACACAAATGTAGTTGACATGATACTACAAGTGATGGTATATATGCATATATATATATATTCATATATATATTATGGTTTCCTTTTACTCCAAGAGGAACATAGGGCTTCAGCCGTGCGTCTCCATTGTGTTCGGTTCTCTGCTAGACTCTTCACCTGGCTACAAGTCTGCCCACACGTTTTCATCTCCTCTTCACATGACCTCCTCCAAGTCACCCTCGCACTGACGACCAACTCGCCGCTTCCCTTTCGGGTTCCACTCGAGCAATGGCTTGTCTAGTGATGTCACTTGATGGATTGTTTCCTCAAAGTATGGCCAGCCAATCCATCTCCATTTCTTCCTGAGTATTTCTTGCACAATCGGTTCCTGCTGGGTTGGTTCGCTCCCAAACATCCCTGTTGCTGATCTTTTCTGGCCGGCCGGCCATCTGATCTTGAGCGAAGTATTGAGCGAAGACAACTGTTAATGAAGGTCTGTAGTTTGTTTGAGATGCTCTTTATGACGCACTGGCCAAGTCTCTGATCCGTATGTTAAGTAGCACTGACTGACTTCACATTGGAGTTGAAAATCCGGATCTTATCTTCGTTTTGATGCTGAGTGCTGTTGACCTCCACACAGACTTGGAGAGTAGTGAAAGCTTGTCTTGCTTTCCTGATGATTCTTGCTTTGATATCCTCGTCAGTTCCATCCGCCTGTAGTTGAAACGATGCTTCCCAGGTAGGTAGGTAGGTAAAAGAGGTTGCTTCTTTCAGATTTCTCCTATTCATGCTGGCTGATTGCTGTTTGTCGTTGTTGTTCTTGTCCAGGAATCTTCAGCACCTCTGTTTTCTCTATGTTCACCTGAAGGAAGTCCTATCCTCTCTGGATGCTTCTTCTGCCAACTTGTTGCTTTTCGCTTGCATGTCTTCCAGTTTGTGGGAAATCAGACATATATCATCGACGGAGTCCAGATCCTCCAGGTTTTTTGTATGAGTCCATTTTATGCCTGTCTCCTCATTGCCCACTGTTTGTCGCATTATCCAGTCTACTGCAATCAGGAAGATCATTGGCGATAGTAGACAGCCAGCTTGTCTTACTCCTGTCCTCACTTCGAAGGATTCCGTAAGTTTCCCGTTATGGATTAATTGGCATGCAGCATTGTCGTACAGCTGCTGGATGAGATGTATAATTGTCGGTGGCAACCCATAGTAGCGAAGTAGTTTCCAAATCACCTCTCGATCGACGCTGTCAAAGGCCTTTTCAAAGTCGATGAAGTTGAGATAAAGAGGTGACTGCCATTCCAAGCTTTGTTCAATGATGATCCGTAGTGTTGCGACTTGGTCAATGCATGACTTGTTTCTCCTGAATCCAGCCTGTTCCGGTCGAAGTTTTTCATCCAGGTTGGCATGTTTGATTCTCTCCAGGATGATGCATGTGGCTTAATATTTTCCTTGGGATGGACAGGAGTATAATTCCGCGCCAGTTCTTGCATTGACTTAGGTCTCCTTTCTTTGGTAGTTTGAATAAGTATCCTTTCTTCCAATCCTCGGGTACTTTGCCTTCTTTCCACACCTTCTCCAGTAGTGACGTCATCAAGTCCGCTGTTGTCTCTGGGTCCATTTTCAATGCTTCTGCTGGGATTCCATGTGGTCCTGCTGCTTTTTCAGCTTTTAGCATCTTGATTGCCTTCAGGACTTCTGATTTCGTCGGGGGGTTGGTGTTCACTGATAGCTGTGTGTCTCCGTCGTTGGTATTGTTGGGTGCGTTGTAGGTGGTGGTCGATTTAGGAGTCTTTTGAAGTATTTAGCCCAGTGTTTCCTTTGCTCCACTTCTTTGGTGAGTGACTTTCCATATATATATATTGATCAATGCAGGGTTGGGTGTAACTGTTACATACCAGTACTCTTGTTGACCATTGGGTTGAACTTCCGTTTGTTTTTAATAAAAAAAACCTTTTTCTTTATAAGCTTTAGAAAAAAGATATACGCCTTTATGAAACAAAAATAAATAGCCTAAAAATTGTCTTTTGCATACAGATGTCTACATGATCGGATTTTTTGTGATTGAAAACGATCAAAATTAGTATTTTTTTTTCTTGCAAAACAAACTACAGAGGCAAACATTCAATCAACTCTCATTAGGTGATTCAGGTTATGCACCATGGTATTATTCAGTAAAGTAGTGGCTAAGTGACTTAAAAAAGAAAAATTAAAATTTATCTAAATGACCAGTTTATTTAAGGTATTTAGAGAGTCAGCTGACCTTAAATAGCATAAAAATGCAGCTCATTCCATAATGAACAGATAGGCATTTAGTTGCTGGCATACATTGAAGTTTCGTTACAGACTTTTAACTTCTATTATCCATTAAATTCCATTAACTACAACTTTGCATTATGTCGTCCATTCAGCTGTTAGTCCACATAGATAAAAGCCTCATCCGTATCACATGATTAAAGATCATCGATAAGAAACCTATGCATTAATGTCTGGTGAATTTCAGTACTTTACTGGCTATCATGTAAAGAAAGTTGTTTGACAAAGTCCTAAAACTCTATGCTTCAGAGCCTTTTACCAGAGGCACTGATGAACTGCAGGTAACCCTGAAAGTTGTTTAAGTAATAGGCAACATCTAGTATCTCTTAAAACTGATTGCCTAATTGCTGCACTGAACGAAAAATATGAATATTAGATAGAACAATAGGGACCTTATTACTGGAAAATACAAAGCACGTTGATTGGTAAAATAAGTTGTGACACTGAGAACCAGTAATTCTTGCAGAATACTTTTCGCTTACATAACGTTAAACACAATCCTCTGTCTGTTTTTGACATAGAACTTTGAACCGATATGCAGCAGTCCAAGTTACCACACTCCATGTAGGACACAAAGCAAGAGAAGAAAGTAGACGAAATGCATAATAGCAACAGTAGACAGGGATATGAGACAAAAGGAATAGTAATAACGAAGAACAGTATAGTTTCATTGGAAATTATAAGTTACAAGGAGTGGAGGCATCTGCGCCAGCCATTGAGGACGAACTTGAGCCATATGACCGATTGTCTCCAGCCATTGATTTTCACCGTCCTGAGCACCCCAACCAGGAAGTCAGGAAGTTTACACCTTCCTACGTGGCTTAAACTAAATGTTGTGGATTTCATTGACTGATGAAGCCATGTCTGGGTTTGACCACCACTAGCCTTCTCTTTTACAACCTGATCCATCCTATGTCAGCTAACATTGCCCATTGTCGAGGAAGGCAATGGCTAGGCATGCATGCGTAACACATGTCCTAACCATCTCAGTCGATGTAGCTTCACAGCCTCGTCGATTGATTTCCCCTCAATGCTTACCTAGCACTCGACCCAGGCCTAACCTCAATATTGCTCACCCTGTTATACCACTCCACACGGGAGATAGAACGCAGAGACCTATGATCAAAGACAATCAGCCAGCCTTTTTATGTCGTCCACTCTTAATAGCCAGGTCTCACCAACAGCCCTAAAGGAGGACGGAGCGACTGCTGAGCAGTACACCCGCCCTTTGGTCGATAGCCGGATATCATGTCTACGCCAGAGACGGTGTAAACTGGCATATGCGAAACTAGCCCTCTGTATCCAAGATAATCCTCAAAAAGCAGACTACGACAAAAAATATATATTTCTATCAGATATATATATATGAATTGATTTCCTATGTGACAAGATTCAAAGCGTGTTAGTCTCAAACGTAATGATATTAATAGTAATAATAACACCAACGGAATTTTTATCATCGTCATCATCATGTGAAGTGGATTACTAGTTTGGACACCTGGATTTCATGCAATGAAACAAGCTCCCCAGTTGACTAGGCTTAGACAACCGCCTACGTATGATTCATAGTCCAGCACATGGAAAACACCGTCTACAAGGTAACCAGATTGCTCTCTACACTTTTTGTTTTCCAACACAAATCGAAAAAAAGGTTAAATAAGGAGTGAAAACTATGGAACACCTCAGAGTTCCTCAATACAGTATACACCTACAACCTCCGACTGCATTGAGGCCAGCTTTGGTAGCACGATTGTTGTCACCTTACCGCTGAACAGAAATATAATAATTTGTACTTTCCAACTTATACAAACTCGTCATATAACAGAACTAACACTCCATGAGCAACTGTCCTCACTCTCTTTGATGGACCGCGTCAGTCACTTTTCATTAGGACTTCAGGAAATTCACTTTCGAGCAAGTTGTTACTGGATAGTACATCGTTTGTAAATCTTGGAGTTTTGCAAAGCGTAAAGAATGGCTTCGTCTCAAAATACTAATCTATAAAAGTGAATATAATACTTCATCAGGGGGATAAAAATATCTGCCGTTGGCAATGATATCTGCACCTACAAAGATTACTTTTCATGCACACTATTTCATGACTACAGTGAAAATTAACCAAGGTGTTTGGCTAAATGCTTCCCAATAACTTACAGTATAATCCAATACATGTTTCGTCCAGTTTGAGACTCATCAAGAGGATGCGTTTGCATCTCTGTGAGTTGTGACTGTGTTGAAATTAGGACAAAAAACCCTAACACTCCTGTGATTTAGTCGCATTCTACATTCAAAGTTTGTAAAAAGATGACGTTTAAGGCAGTATGAAGATGGTAGCAAATATAACTTCCAGAATGTACTTTTTTAACTAATCATAAGTATTAATTTACCTGATCTATAATTAGGATATGATGAGGCGATGACAATAGCTGGTTTTCTTAAATTGAACGAAGTATTCGAATTGACCAAAGCTACCTTTGGAAACCAAGTTAGAGTACCTGTTGATTCCCGTGTTGATCCAGACAATTGAGAGGCAGTTAAAAACCGACAATGGGTAAAACGTGCAGAAGTAAGTGTTGGTTTAAAATTTGTAGCTTTTAAATCACTGAACGAATTTTTTGTACGGAGAATCGAAGCACCTGACTTTAATGTTATTTGGCCCCCACGACGATACTTAGACTTTAATGACTGACAACTAGATGTTGGTTTAGATGGTTGAGCTGACTGAACTGCAGTAGTCAGAAGCTGATTAGCATGAGATGATAGTTGTAGAAATCCACCATTTTTTGTGGAAAATCGTGAAGACATAGGTTGTACTGCTGTAACTTTAGATGGGGAACCATCATTAAGATCGAAATGGGATGATTCAGTGGATGTAAGAGAACGTTTAGTCTGAATGTAGTTTTCCGAATGGCTAATAACACAGTTATTTGATGAAAATATACTACAGGTATCAACTTCAGAATCCGGTGCATCCATCTGCGATGAGTCTGAATAATTTGATTCAGTATGGAATAGAGGAAGAGGAATATGAAGATCAGAAAGTCTCTCCAGGTTGACATCATCATCTCCATCACAAATATTAGGACTGTCCACATGTTCCTTACAGAATACTTCGTCAATACTAGGTGTTGGAGCCACTCTGATATCACTTGAAATAGGTGGTGGGCTATCAGGACTACACAAATATGGTTTGTCAGTCATTTCATCAAATGAATCATTCCAAACACACTTATTTTGCTTGCTTCTCTCATGTAGATTGTCATGTTCTTTATTACCTGCATATATCAGAGAGAAAAAAGTAGAAATTAAACACAGTGAAATACATAATAATAATAAGAGGTAATAATCACTGATACTTTTGAGAGTAGCCCATGCTACAGTAATACGGAAAGTTACAACCCAATATCTTTGATACCCAGCCCATATGTGGATTAACCGCTGGATGCGTCCTACTGATGCTACTTTGGTGAGTATTAGTTACGACTATTTGGTCACGAGTTGACACAAGGTCAAGCAAAACAAATATGACAGCACACAACGATGACTGAATTAAAAGTTGGATGGAAGAAATCCAGAGATGAAGCTGTTAAAGGGCAAGGCTGTTGTAAGTGTGAGCTGACTGACTGGTTTTAACATAGAACTTTGCAAACATGTGCAGCAGTTAGAGCTGTCACTCTCCCTTCTTGTAGCACATAAAAACAAGAGAAAAGATTCACCAAAAGAGAGACAATAAACATAAGTGTGAGTCAGGGAAAAAGAATAGTAGTAATATAGAAGAACAATAGTCATACTGGATGGATTTGACAAATCACAAAGAGTGAATGCATCTACGCCAGCCATTGACAACCAACCATATCACCAATTGTTTTCATTGGTTCCTACCATCCAGAGGACCCCAAACACGACGCCAATCTACACCTCCTTACGTGGATGGCTTAAACTAACTTCATTGACTGATGACATGTTTTGGCTTGTTTACCACCATATTTTCCAAACTGATCCATCCTGTCAGCTAACATTTCCCGTCGAGGATGCATGAATGCATGCACAACACATGTTCTAACCCTCTCACTCAATCGATGTAACTTCACAACCAGCCAACCTTCTCATGTCTTCCACTTTCAATGACAATGTCTCTCTCACACCCATAAGGCAGGACGGAGACAACTGCTGCTAAGCAGTAGACACACACGTCCTTTCCCTGACAGCCAGTCGGAATTCACGTCTACTAAGCAAGAGATGGCGTAAGTTGGCAAATACTAAACAAGCCTTCTGTATCCATGCTCAGATTTCGTCAGCGATCAACCCACTGAAGCTGACTGATGCAACTTCCCAAATAAGTGAAGCAGTCGACACGCTCCACCAACCATTTCACTACCTATTTTTAAGCTAGGAGTCGATGTAGTCCAGTCGTGTAGCATCATCTTACAATCTTAAGTGTGAGCAATGTAAGAAAGTGAATGTGACCATGTTCTGGTGTGTAAGAGGTCGACTGACTATTAAAATCAGTGCATGTGTATATACTGAGATTTTCTAGTGCGGTTTACCGATCTATTTTATATTTGTTTTTATTGTATCCTTTAATTCCTACAGGAACATACGGCTTCAGCCGTGCGTCTCCATTGCGTTCGGTTCTCTGCTAGAGTCTTCACTTGGCTCAAAGTCTGCCCACACGTTTTCATCTTCTCTTCGCATGACCTCCTCCAAGACACCCTTGCCGCTCCCCTTTCGGGTTCCACTCGAGCAATGGCTTGTCTAGTGATGTCACTTGATGGTTTCCTCAAAGTATGGCCAGCCAATCCATCTCCATTTCTTCCTGCCTATTTGTTTCACAATCGGTTCATGCTGGGTTGGTTCGCTCATTGCCAGAGATCCCTGTTGCTGATCTTTTCTGGCCGGCCGGCCATCTGATCTTGAGTATTCAGCGAAGACAACTGTTAATGAAGATCTGTAGTTCGTTTGAAATGCTCTTCATGACGCACTGGCCAAGTCTCTGATCCGTATGTTAAGTAGCACTGACTGATTTCACATTGGAGTTGAAAATCCCGATCTTATTTTTGATTCTGAGTGCTGTTGACCTCCACACAGACTTGACGAGAGTAGTGAAAGCTTGTCTTGCTTTTCCGATTCTTGCTTTGATATCCTTGTCAGTTCTGCCTGTAGTTGAAACGATGCTTCCCAGGTAGGTAAAAGAGGTTGTTTCTTTCAGGTTCCTTCCATTTATGCTGATCGTTGTCTTTTGTTGTTGTTCTTGTCCAGGAATCTTCATCACCTCTGTTTTCTCTATGTCCACCTGAAGTCCTATCTTTGATGCTTCTTCTGCCAACTTGTTGCTTTTCACTTGCATATCTTCCAGTTTGTGAGAAATCAGACATATATCATCGGTGAAGTCTAGATCCTCCAAGTATTTTGTGTGGGTCCATTTTAGGCCTGTTTCCTCATTACCCGCCACTGTTTGTCGCATTATCCAGTCTACTGCAATCAGGAAAATCATTGGCGATAGTAGACAGCCAGCTTGTCTTACTCCTGTCCTCACTTCGAAGGATTCCGTAAGTTTCCCGTTATGGATTAATTGGCATGCACCATTGTCGTACAGCTGTTGGATGAGATGTATAATTGTCGGTGGCACCCCGTAGTAGCGAAGTAGTTGCCAAACGACCTCTCGATCGACGCTGTCGAAGGCCTTTTCAAAGTCGATGAAGTTGAGATAGAGAGGTGACTGCCATTCCAAGCTTTGTTCAATGATGATCCGTAGTGTTGCGACTTGGTCAATGCATGACTTGTTTCTCCTGAATCCAGCCTGTTCCGGTTGAAGTTTTTCATCCAGGTTGGCATGTTTGATTCTCTCCAGGATGATGCGACTTAGTATTTTGCTTGGGATGGACAGGAGCATAATTCCGCGCCAGTTCTTGCATTGACTTAGGTCTCCTTTCTTTGGTAGTTTGAATAAGTATCGGTCGGTCGGTCGGTTTTCGACATAGAACTTTGCACATATGTGCGGCAGTTCAATTCGCCACACTCCCTCTTTGTAGCACACAAAGCAAGAAAAGAAAATAGGAGAAATGCATAATAAGTATCCTTCCTTCCAATCCTCGGGTACCTTGCCTTCTTTCCACACCTTCTCCAGTAGTGACGTCATCAAGTCCGCTGTTGTCTCTGGGTCCATTTTCAATGCTTTTGCTGGGATTCCATCTGGTCCTGGTGCTTTTCCAGCTTTTAGCATCTTGATTGCCTTCAGGACTTCTGATTTCGTCGGGGGTTGGTGTTCACTGGTAGCTGTGTCTCCGTCGTTGGTATTGTTGGGTGCGTTGTAGGTGGTGGTCGATTTAGGAGTCTTTTTTTTTTAGTGTTTAGCCCAGTGTTTCCGTTGTCATCCTTCACCGGCTTGATTTGTGTCAAACGTTTGCCCGATAGGTACCTAGTTGTTTGGTAGAGTGTTGCGAGGTCTCTTTTGCCTGCAGCTTGTTCTGCTTCACTTGCCATGGTTTCATAATACTTTCTTTTGTCTTCTCTGGCACTCTTCTTTACTCTTTTGTTCAGTGTCTTGTAGTTTGCATTCAAATCCTGTTTTTGTTGCTCGTCGGTGCACTGGAGAATCTTTTGTTTCACCATCCCTCTCTCTTCTATCAGTCTCCAAGTGTCCGTAGAGAGCCACTGTTTGTCCTGTCTCTTCTTTCTGCCTAGAACTTTCATGCAGGTTTGACTCCACACTGTTTTCAAGTTGTTCCAGTGCTTTTCGACGCTGACCTCTTCGCTAGTGTTGATTTGTGTCTCGGCTGTCCTTTATGCTTGCAGTGAAGATGTCCTGGTCCTTCAGTTTTTGGGTGTTGAACTTGGCTTGTGGTCTATCTGCAGCTACTGTTTCTCTGAAAGCTTTTAATTTGATTTGGATTGTCCCTTGTACGAGGTAGTGGTCTGAGCCAACGTCTGCTCCTCTTCTTACTTTCGTGTCCAGTAGGCTGCGTCTCCACTTCCTTGAGATTGAGATGAAGTCAATTTGGTTTTTGGTTCGCCCAACTGGTGACACCATGTAGCCTTGTGGATATCCTTGTGTTTGTATACGCTGCCACCAATCACTAGTTCATTGAAGGCGCAGAAGTCGGCGAAGAGTTCTCCCTTTTCATTCATTTCTCCGAGAGCTTCTCTACCCATGAGTTCCCTTCCTGTGTTATCTGATCCCAGTTTGGCGTTCATGTCTCCCATTAGTATTTTAATGTCGCCGACTGGAGTATTGTCCATTGTTGCCTGTAGTTGTCTGTAGAATTCTTCTTTCTTTTCGAGGTCTGCGTTGTTTGTCGGTGCATAGCATTGTATAATTGACACTTTCCTTCCTTTGGAGTTGAATCTGGCGGTCATTATCCTGGGCGAGATCGCCTCCCATTGCATCAGGGCCTTCGTTGCCGTTGGTGACATCATGATAGCCACGCCCTCGGTGTGCATGTGGTTATCCTCTGGGTGACCGGAGTAGATCACTGACTCATCCGTTGACAATTTGGTGAGTCCATTTCCGTTCCATCTGCTTTCACATATCCCCAGTACTTGAATTCCGTATCTTTTCATTTCGTTTGCGATCTGGGCTGCTTTGCCAATTTCGTACATGGTGCGGACATTCCATGTCCCCACACAGACTTTTTCTTTTGGCGCAAGGAGGTTCGTCGTGCTGAAGATTTTGTAGCAGCTTTGTTTACAGGGTGGGGTTGATAGCCTCACGCCTCAGAAGGGGAGAGAGAGAAGGTCAGTGTTGCGTGACCGCAGAGCCCAGGGGACAACTGCTTGAGGCCGGTAACACGCGGCCTGCTTTTGGTTGTTTTTTCTTGTTTGGTGTGTCTCAGTAGCATATTTATCACTTCTGCCCTGTGCCACAGCAGCAGGAAGCACGGTCGTTGTTATTCCGGCATGATATTTTGTGAGTTTGTTTGAGTCATAGTATTGGGTTGGGTAGCTGCTTTTGTCTAACCGCTATCCAAACAACCTTTGTGGCATGGTAGGACCTACAGGAACATAAGTTCTAGCCAGTGTAGCTCGTTGGGTCATTGCGATATGCAAGCCCGACCAATACGTCAAGGTAGCAGCTATCGGTCGGGGTTTACCGATCTGCACACCTTTATTTGAAAGAAACTACTGGTTATCACTAGAAACCAGTGAAAATGAAAAAGCAACAATGAAGCAATGAGACAAGAAGTTTTTGAGACCATAAGAATATAACAACCAAATAATTGTCAGGAATGCATAATATATCACCCACATTCATTTAGAAGTTAAGGAGTATTACAACACTGGCATACGACGGCTTTCTATGGACATTAACGTATAGTCTTCTATCCTTTCTATTTTTACAGCCTACTACGTATTTTTATTGTCCATAAGTAAATCGGAATTTGTATGAGTAGTATATCACAAAGAGATAAAACAACAGAAATATTACTAATGAGTTACTGATCACTACAATTTATCCATAAATTCATGAGAAAAGAAGAAATATTTACGGAATTGGTGATCAAAATGAAAATAGGAGGGAAGCCCAGACTAGACAGAAGAATATTATTCTACTTAGGATTCTTAGCATAATCGGAATCAGGGTGACATTCAGTTAGTTAAGCCTACGAACTCAGAGACCAGTTTCGCCTGCCTTACGTTACTATTGACTCCATTACATATAAAACCGTTTATGACACGGTAACAGTTTAAGGTAGCACACCGCCTCAAAAAACCAAAAATAGAGGTAACTTGTGAGATGAGAAACAGGCTACCTAAGTGTCATTTAATCATATGACGGCTAACCTATAAACATTGTGCTTCGTTCCATCTAAGTGAGTACTTGCCTTCATCCAAGCAGGTGAACTCTCCAGAGGTAGTCGATAAGTTTGTGTATCGAGGTAGCCGTGTGACGGACGAGATCCTTAGTCGCATAGTAAAAGCCAGGGTGGTATGTACTGTTTTGGGGGAGCCCCCGGTGCCTTCGCGACGTTAGTGTTGTTGTCAGAGGTCACTTAACAAAGTTCTGATGTGCACAGCTTTGCTCAACGTCTGTGAAACGTGGATTCTTCGAAATGACAATTTTTGGAAACTCCCTGAGTCCAGTCATAACTGTCTTCGTAGAACTGCTTGTATTCTAGGACATTGTCATGTCATTCTAAACTCTCTCGCTGTAGATTGTCTTTTAGTAGCTTATGTCATCTTGGGATGCGTCGGTGGCACAGCAGTTAGGACGCTCGCCAACCATGCACATAGTTTCCAGGTTTTATCCACCTCGCTAAGCCAGAAACAAAAGTGGTAAAGAGGGAAGGTTGGGCATGAGGCTATCAACCCCATCTTGTAAAAAGAAACACCGCTACAGGAAATTCAAGCCTCTAGCTTGAAGCCCTATGTTCCACTGGGAAAGTGAAGGAAAAAATGCCATCTTGGGACACTCATATTAGTGGACTGGACATGTGATACGAATTAATATATACGTAAAACTTAGGCACTGATGTGGAGGGTAATTCCACAATTTGTTTATCAGATATATCAGTGAAACAGTATTATTCAGTGGATAAATTTTCAAACAATTTATTGTTCATAATCATATCATCTATAACTACACAACTTCAGGTTTATAGTTTTCTCTATTCCCTTCCATTTATCAAAGGGGATTTTGCATATTTCCAGGACAGGTGTTGAATCATTTCTGTTCAACTTATTTTCACTTTATTCGATAAATGGAGCTTCCGTTATCAATCCCACCCTTGACTATTATATTAGGTTTTAAAGCTGTCATCTTATCTCATCTCACTAAGTGGTTGTGTGTAACTGTAAGTGATGTTGTAACTCAGGACTTTCCTTATTAGGGTCAGCTAATCTAGATTTTGCTTGGTTTTTGTGCTCTGCTAATTTGATTCACCCTATGCTACTACTTCGACCTGAAAATTACTGCAGAACATTAGATACACTAAATTATTCGGTTTAGTGGGTTCCATGGGATCCTTCATCCAACATCGTTTGTTTTTAAGTGGGTTTGAACGTCACTTTTAATTCTGCATTGTTAAGGATTCTATGTAAGTTGCTCGAGGTTATTTCTTTGAGTGGAAGCATTACTGATGACTTAAATTCATTATTGCTGTTGTCATTATTCTGAGTATTAGTAATGATAGCATTTATGACATGCTTGACAAAGAATTGCAGAATAAACTACATTATCTTCAGTAACTCGAAAGACGGAGTTGTATCTTTATGTCCATGCACAAGTGACACGCTTTGAAGTGTAGTATATGGTTCCAGAAATGGTTTGAGTCGCAACTATTGCGTGCACTTTTCTGTTGCAAACATCTATCATTTGTCCAACTACGTGATGAACACGATCATGAAACATTTCACATTGCTCAGTGTGAACGACAAATGACAATGGGCAGTTAGCAAGCTTGTGTAGTCACATCAGGAAGTATTTGAGTAAGGCACCGTTTTCTAATTTGGAACTCCACAAAACCCGTTAACTACTTCGTAAACATCAGAATATTTAGCCCCATTAGACATGTCTTTTAGTGTCAGATCTACAGGCGATTATAGATACTGCTGCCTAATTATAGTAAATTAACACAAGAGCTGTAATTAAATCATGTCCACAATAACTGGACTTAACATAAAATATGGCTACGCGCATACTTCTGTCAAATATCAGTTAGCCAACGCCTAGAAAATGATATTTCGAAGTAATAAACCCATTGGATAAAACCAAATAGCTGATTTCATATTGACAGAGAATATTAAGACAAGAACAAACCTTTCTCTTTCTGACCAATAGCTGTTCGTGCATATCTACCTAAGGAGGTTCCAGACAGCTTCGAGGCGCTTTCCGAAGATAATGGCTGCTCAGAGTTTGTCACAAATGATTCCTCGCCAATAACTTCTTCCCGTACGTCCAGAAGATCCGCAGAGTCCATCAAAAATAGTGCACCGTAGGAATCATTGTTTGAAATCTCGGGGTATATTTCCGCATTATCAAGTGAGAAATCGGATTGTAAATCGACGGACGAGTAGCAGTTGGCAGAAAAGTCGCTGTTTAGCTCATTTTTCATTGAGGAATCATCAAAAAATGTATCAATCATCACTTTCTCGACTCAACCGAAAGTACCGCGGAAAACCAGGCACAACTTCATTCAAAAGACGTTTACAGAGGTTTAAATAGCTATTGGATTGAACAAGTTGACAGTATTAAATAAAACTTACGGGTAAAGTCTGACACCAGAAAATAAATTAAATTCGGGAGTTCTGTGAAGAAGACACCTCAAATATGATTGTTGCTCTGACCGTGATGAGCTGACCCAATATTCTGGATGAAGAAGCCTGGAACCTAACCTCTGGAAAAATTGCAAGAATTTAAACACGATTCTCCAAGACTCCTACCCCTGCTTTTCCGAGAGAGATGAATCAGCGTTATTTGTAAGTCATGTATCAAGCGTAGTGATTGTATCATTTCTGCAGCCACAGCATTTTGCACTTCAAAAAGAAAGCGAAATATTTGATAAAAGTTTGATTTCGATTCCTTACTTGACAGATACAGTTCCAAATTTGACCAATGTGCGCAAGTATCTAACCTATGATTCAGAAAGGGACGACAGGTTAAGCACCTACGTCCTTCTGCAAGTCTTGTGTTAAATACATTCATTCGAATATGACTATCCCTTGACTAAGCACACATAAGTTTAGCAGTAATTTTCTTTAAATATCAATGTATTGTTCTGCACAAGTGAAGTGCAGAGTTACTTAAGTACAATGGATGGTTATACTCAATTTAGCTCTTCAACGTGTCATTCTCATTTCGATCTCCACGAAGCAATAAATTACTCTACTTAATAACAGTGCATAGGAAATAAAAACCTAGATATTAATCTCTTTAATCCCTTCACACTATCTAAGACCGATTTTCATATAGATAGTTAAATTAATATTGGATTACTCACTAGTGAAACATAAGCCTTCTCACAAACGGTTATTCACTATGGAAGCAGCTGATAACACAACACGCTAGCAGCAGATAGATTTTTCTGTGGGCCCCGAAGGCGAATAATATGTTTATCTGATATTTCAGGGTAATCAGAAGATTACTAAGCATAAACCATTTTCTTTAGCGCCTTATTCCTTTTTCTATGAAATTTTATTAACAGTGCGAATGCTCTAATAAGGATCAGATGGACAGTTTGCACTTCAGCTAAACTCAAGATGCTATCCCATGGGCCATACACAAGTTCGCCAAACATCCTACAGGTCACCGTATTCAACAGGTTCTAGTCCTTCTAGCCACTTCTCTCTGAAATGTTACTTGTATACTTCACAATAATCCTTCTACCTAATTACTATTATACTCTATTTTATCTCAACTTCCTAGGACTTTAATGAAGCTGAAATTTTTTTCCTCTTCTCATTTACACCCTTTTCTCGCGTAAAGTTCGGTTGCTCTGATGATAAAAACAACAACACTCATGTTTGAGAATAAATATATTTTCATAGAAAGCGTCATAGTTTTCCATGGTAAGACCAATATGGTTAGCATCATACATTGCAAATGTGTATTATCATTTCAAGTACTACATAGCTTCTTGTATTTATCTTGTAAATATACTTTTAATAATGTATTATTCATAATTGCATTCTATACCATTTTGCAGCTGCGCCAGATTTTCTTCAGTTCCTAAAATAGCGTTCAAGCATTTGAAGGCATAGCACTCACACAAATATATGTTGTTTATCGATTGGTCATAACTATCATCGGGAAATGGAACGAATTTCGGGTTGTCGCTCAACTTCGATGGTGACCTTCGTGAAATATTTACAAATTAACATTTATAAGAATCTGTTCTGATTGCTTGTACTATAACTCAACAATATGAACTTTTTGAAAAAGTGACAATGTATACTAATTAACAACTGTTATTCGCAACATAATTGATCGTGCCTGTAAAAATGGCATGCATTTCATGTAAACTTACCCGTTTAAACGAAATATATATTATTATTATCTGCTCACTGCATGGTATCTGACCAAACAGCAGTCGACAGCAGAGCATATTAGAATGAAATCAGACCCTTAACACATTTAAAAAAAATTATATAAAATGCCTTGGTCATTGCCCGATGAGACAGACAGTAATACTACATGAAACGATTGCAGAAATATTTGGTTGGAGTCATGCGGAGTGTCTACATTCATGCTGCGGGTGAGACCAGACATGAATAACAGCGTGTTACTATTTAAGATACACATAGTATCGGTTGGCTGGAGGCTATCGGCAGGGCAATCTAGATCTAATTTTCGTGCCTGCTGGCGCTCGTCAACGAGGCGTGCATGCTACTAACTAGCTACAGCAGGTCAGACGACGGAGGGAGATCCGTGGCACCTCGAATATATCAAATTCTAAGGGTCTAGCAATTCGCCTCCTTGAGAACTATTGCTAAATCGATGTTGTGGTGTATACTTAAAGGCAGCAACATCCTACCTTGACAGGCACTTTGAGCTGTCTTTTGGGATATCTCAAAACATTTTAATGCAAACGGCTTCGCCACTCTTTGCGCAAGTTATCATCGATACTTCCAAAGTACTGAAACTGCCAACTCTGCTGAACATTTGTAATACCTGTACACCACACAGTACGTACTATAGACGCTGGAGCCACTTGATAGGTGGTTAGCGACTAGGATATAGAGAAGGCGACGGCGACTCGCCAGAGGGGTCGTACATTTTCTTTGAGCCTTCTGAGGTTTATTATCTCTGCTGCAATTTTATGAACAACATGTGTCCTTCCAATGCCAGCTACTTTTTTCTAACTCAATCTTTCGCTTCATGATCATTTTGGTATAAGAGTCGGTCCACTAAAATTACTGAGCAATCAATTTTTTCATCCGTCAAACGATTCATATTTACTGCATTTTGTCTTGGTTTAAACATCCAACTGCATTCGTGAAGGGTGCCCTACTCTCACACACATTTTCTAAATGTTTCAAGGTAGTCCTAAGTATGAGCGACCCAAATGAAGGATGGGATTAAATATACGTGATGGCTTTGATGAGCCAATCAGAATAGCGCATGGTAAATAAGCGGGGCTAGGGACAGTGTAGACGAATTACACCGCAGGTTCCATCGAAATTTGGCATATCATTACTGTTTGGAAAATATGCTGTTAGGTAGAAATACATGTAGGTGTTGTGGAGTGATGCATTTACAGAGCTCTACAGATGCCGAGGTTATAGCGGCATAAAGTCAGTTCTAGAAGGTACGCCATTCCTTTTTTATTTTATGGATGCTGTGTGTACCTTGTTCGCTAGATGCAAGTTGTCTTTGACCTAAATTTCGGTCGATTTGGAATAACTGAGTCTTGAAAAGATCAGATGCGCCAACAGCCTTCAAAGCAGAAAATTCAGAGGTGTCTGCAGTGCAGAGACATAACACCATATGAAATGGACAGTGTGATCTAGGTAATTGGTAGAGTGAGTGTAAGTGTTCAAGTTGACGAGACTGTACTTGTCAAAAAGGAAATAAAATGGCTGTAGTTCAACTTCCAATCAGCAATGAGTGTTTGGATTGTGTGACATTAAACTCCAGAAGATACCTAATCGTGATGCGAGTGCTTTACTGCAGATTATCCAACATTTAGTGTTACCATATCAACAGAGTAGCTATAGCCAACTGTCATCTCTGGATTCTACAATACAGTTGAGCTTGTTAATCCTTTTGATAGGACACACATAAATCCCATCGAAAGTTTATGGTGTCCCTTAAAAATAGGTTGAAAGCAGTGGATGAGTCATGAAATAGTGTGATACATAGTTAACTGGACGAATTTGTCTGACCTATCATTAAGGACTCCTACAGGAAATTGGAACGTACAATAACGTTAAGCTGTGTAAGCATTTTTAACATTACATTTCTATAAACCTTTTTAAAGCAGACGCCATTTTTTCGGGCTTATGTGACCTGTTGACAGATGTTTATCATGGTCCTTAAGAGGGCCGTACATTTTGGGGCGCTTATGTTTAGAGTCACCCATAGCAACCTACTTTGAATATCTTGAGTGAAATGTAACTAATACTTCCCAAGTAGGGAGGCATACTTCTGACAGGACATTATTGCCCTAAGTGGCACATTACCGCTCATTGAACCGCTTTCAGATATTAAGCAAGGAACGAATGTCTTTTAAGGCCAAAATTGTTGCAATACGATGAAAATAAAATTTTTCTAGTAAAGCTACTCTTATTATTCATAATTTGGTGAGCTCATTTACGTTCTTAATCCATCATCGATTTAATTGCAGCTTAGTGCAGTTCATTTTGGCTTGACTTATGCGGCATGTTAGTTGAAATTTGGCTTGGTAAATTTTGTTGTGGATAAGTTTTAATTAAGCTGTGTTTTATGTTTTTGGACTGATAGGAATACTCATCTTTACGTGCACACATTTCAGGATCTCTCATGTCGTGGGAACTGTTGCTCTACAGGTGTTCTGTGTCTGCATGAATCATCTTCCCATGCTCTTTTTGAATTTACTCGCGTTCTTCACAATATCCACACATCCATACTCAAAAAGGATTTTATTGTCGCCTGGAACTATATATAGAATTCACTTTTAGAATCCACAACCCGGAACTTTATGACACCCTTTCTAATCAAGTGAGACTATGGATTTTATCCCCGGGCAGTGCTATTAAAGGAAAGTTTGACATTTTATTTTGCAGTATTTAGCTGTTTATCGTTGTTTTTGATGCTTCGATAATACAACAAGCTTTTTTCATATCCTAAAGACTCTTCTGGATATTGTGAAAATTCTTGTTTCTGTAATGGTTAAGTCTGTAAAACGTGTAAGTACTGTTAAGGGACTGAGATCTAATACTCGTCAGCCATCTGAAGGCCTCAGCTCCATAGACGATTCTACACTTTTGATACCAGACACACCCAAATCTATGGTACATGATACCCTACAGGAACTGATACATAATGCGGCGCGTAGCAAAAATGATTTGATGACACTTCAGACAGCGTCGATCGAGAGGCCATTTGGCAACTACTTCGCTACTATGGGTCGCCACCGACAATTATACATCTCATCCAACAGCTGTACGACAATGCTGCATGCCAATTAATCCACAATGGGAAACTTACGGAATCCTT